GGTGTGTCTATGATCAAAAATACCTATCCCGCAAAACCCCAAAATTGCAGTTCAGCAGCATTGGCTATCTGTAGGCAGCGGAGGGGCACCACGGTGGCTAACAACTCTCACTTCAACCAGCGTATTTAACTTCGTTGCATCAGTGTAGTGAATAGGCCAGCTCGAATCTCTGTGCAAACCTCAGCGGAATATCTATGAAACACATGTGAAACTGCAAAATTCAGTTGGCAGCCTGGGCGTAATGTGATGTAGAGGCATCCGAAAAGATGTCGTTCATTCAAGGAGCCTCCGCACGTTTTTTTTGAAAACCTCTCAACTCGGTTGTAACGGCAATCCTTCTAGATTTGGTTTTCCTCTTTTTTTGCTGTCTATTATTATGTAATAAGATAGTGTCTTACCAAATTCTGGACTTTCTTTTGAAAGTACCCATTGCATGTCTGACACTCTTCAACACACTGCTCTACTTACATAGTTTCAGTAGAAGTTGCCATATGCTACTTAAATTAACCCTGGTGGTTGAAATTTCTTTGTTTATTTCAGGCGGACTTTTTTATAGTTCGTATGAAAACAACATTTTTTTCCAAAAAAACCTATGCTTGAAGACTAAAGTGTCATAAGTCACTCGGTCTGACATTTTGAAGGCAGTTGAATATCGTGATTAGATTTCACTAGATGTCTGGAACTTCGGTGACTGCGAGAACCGATCTGTAAGCTAAAGAAATCACACACCCGTTAGCTTAGGCGATCACCGGCTGATTGATTTTTACCAAACAGGTAGATGCACTGTAGAGTTAAAGCTCCTGAAAACGTTTTACAAATTCCTCGGCCAGGTATAAACGGGAAGAACGTGAGTAAGTTGACAAAGGATAAATCACGGTTATCACTTCTGATCACATGAGCTACAGTGTGAATCTGAAGAGTGTCACAAATTTTCTTAAATGATCAGGTTTGGTGATGAGTGCATAACCAACAACTGCATTCCTTTTTGTTTCGCATGAGTGTCACACCACAGAAGATGCTTCTGCATCGTTGCACCGTAAGATCTGAATTGGAAACGGCTCTTTTTTGATTTCATAACATCGATTATGTGCGACTGTTGTTTCAATGTAGAATACTGTGTAGGCGCTCCTGATGTAAAGTGTTGGCCTGAATTTTCAAGCCTCTGGGGGAACATTTACAATACATCCCTGTTTGGTGTTAACTTTTAATTAGTTCAAGACTCAAGACTTCAGACTTCAAAATCTATCCAGAAGGAGCGAATTTTTTTCCACGTGAAACAATTAGGAAACCTTGTTCAGTAACACCTTTCATAAGTAAGGTGTTGCTTAAGTAGAGCATTTTCTGTATGTGTTTCATGGAGTTCAGTTTCGGTTTCCATGGTGATCGCTAAAGTATCAGGAAGGTTAGATTCCTGAAAGCAACCTGGGAATGCCCGGAACCTACTGTTCCTTCAAAAACTCAACGGAAAGCCGGCAAGCATCCAGGCCAGTCAATCATTCAATCAATTCAGCAAAACCTGATGAGTGTTCTTGCATGCCACAGAAGCACGACCGAATGTGATCTGCGTTCAGGCATTTCATAGATGCACGATCGATGTTGATGAGTGTCCACTAACGCCTATCAGACAACCTGGATCAATGTCAGAATATCCCCTTTAAATATCGTGGAGCCGTTGTAACTTTTGCTCACTCACTCGCTTGCACTCACGCTCTCGCAATCGTTTGTTCGGAATATAGCAGTTGTGTTCCCTTCTGTGGGTCTTTTTTCTCCGGCATTGGGCACTGGAACGGGTCAGCAGCAGATACCACAGATTGCGGAATCAGCAGATATAACATAAAGGTAGAAGGCTTTCACCGTTCGAGAAAATACATGCTTCTACGATTGATCAATGCTATTGTATTAAACAAGCTGATTTAAACATTTACCTAATGGATAGAGCAACAGACTAGTGAAGATGATGGGAAAATTCATCCACCGCAAATTCAGTACAGGTGTGGTCAGATTTTGGTCAGTTTTGGTGTTACTGTTACTCAGTTGTCGGGGTAACTGGTAGACCGTTCCACTACGCCTTGTTGATTCCACCTCATTTTTTCCTAAACCCCCTTATGACCTGATTCGAACAATCTGGCTGTACTAGATCAGAGGGTGGAAGCACTGAGCTCGAGTTCCGTCCATATAAGGGCACATCAGTAGTATATATTCATAGCTGTACCGGGGTCGAACCTAAGACCAGCGAGAGGAGTGTGTTAACAGTACCTCATCAGTGGACATTGGAATGACGTATCACGTCTAGCCCAAAAAGCACATCCACACTATTACAACGACTACTCATGAGTAGCGATTAGAAATAAAAACTTTTAGCCCCTACATTATCAGTGTTCCCAAAAAAATGGTTATCAATAAGAACGAATAATTAGCCCACCAAAACGGCTTGGCTGATTTTGAATGCTCCAGAATATGTGGAGACGAACTCTAAATTACCGTAGAATACCATAGTTTGCATGCCTCGGAGCATGGACAATCTGTCCGTTCGATGAGAATAATCACCAATGCTGTTGGCGAACTATGAGGTTGGCTCTGGTAGCCAAAAAAAACTAAGAGTCACACTTTTCGGATTACACCGATTTCCTTTTTTTGATCAGAACCGGATGGACGCGCATCGATGAACATAAGTGCCGTATCAGACGGATGCAAGTCAATAGCCAAGCTCGGCGAACAGATCAACTGCCCCATCTGATCAACCACCAGTAAGACGGAAGTGAACTGGGAACTTGCTGATTTCGTCTAATATTAGGGTTTCTTAGTAAAAAACAATGACGTGCATTTATATGTCGTGTAAATACATAATGGTGCAGAGGCTTTTGACGTCTTCCAGAATAAGAAAATATGGCAACGCTTGTTGAAGTCGTTTTGTTTTTCCAATTTATTCCTGTTGAGATGGAGACAGCAAATAGCTTTGGTCTCATGGTTTCTATGCTTTGGTAATACAATCAATATTTTTCTCTACTTCCAAACCGCAGGAACTTACCAACGACGAAGCGGATCCAATGGACGCAAAATATCTCAAAGTGCAAGCTGAATTTGTGATTGACCTGAAAGTGAGTGCAGGTCACTTGATGCATACATGGTTAGCCATGTGGACCAGAACTGTTTTAGCCTAACATACTTCTGTGATGGACGAAACTGGGGAGAGCAAGATACGTCCAAGCACCAGTTTTTCGATTAGCGATCTTTCGGTTACCTATCAAGGCTGAAGACAGAAAATAGAAGGTGGTAGCAAACGACAATGTTCCCAAAGATCACAGTCGAAAAATGGTAGTAAGACTTACGGTTTAGACCTTTAAAGGAGGTCCGGTTGAATGGCATGTTAAACTTTCACAGGCAACCTGTTTCCACCAACCAATCACGAAAAGCTTCCGCCCCCAAAACTCCATATCGTCCGATTGGATGTAACAACTGCTGTTGAATGCGGCCTCTCCTTCATGCATTCAAGTTATGTCAAGCTGATAGACTCATAAAAGGCTCATTTGAACGAAGTGATCGTTTACTGAGGAACCCGACAGGTTGTGTTTATCAGCCAGTGCATGTGTTATCATATCAAGGTCTAGTCTTAGTTATCAATGAAGCAGGCTCAGTTGCAAGTTTTCCTTTGGCGTGCTCACTTCCTAAAAATAAAACAGACGGATAGTAATAGCGAACGGAAGAAAGCCTTTGCTGAAGAGTTATTTATTGAAGACCCCCGACTGAACATTTGCAGACTATTGGACAGGGAAGCAAAACTCTCATATGCATCTTGTTCATAAAAATTGTGTATCCGTCTACTTCTGGAACGCGCCTTCCCGAGCTTCTCAGTGACTATCACTCAAACGTAAACGTGTGCTACAAAGTGATGCTACAAATTCCCTAATGAATCTCACTTCTCAATGGACGCGAAACAAAGTTATGAGAAAACCACATAGCACTTACATGCTTCATCAGTAGTATCCACCGTTATGATAGAACTGGAGTCTGTAGACACGTTAAAGGTTCCCAACATTGGGTCGGATAAAGACTGCCGGACGATATTCCGCAACTGAAACCAAGTCAAAATGCCGGAATTATGGTTTTCAGACAAGTTGCTAAAAATATTTCATACCCCAAAAAAATAGGTTGATTCGCTATAGTCAATTATGAGATGGTCTCAAAATTTTACCAGAGGGAATCTCAAATATCATCGCAATTTATGTAAAAATAAAAGCATTGTTACTCTCATAAATGCACAGCCGGTGACAATACGTTTGCGCGTAACAAAGCTTTTGACATCCGTAGGAAGGTCGCCGAGCTGAAACGATATTTGGAGATGTGAGGTATACGGAATCAGGAAAATCTGAAGATTAAACCGATATCAAAATTTTGGAGCGATTTGTCCCTTCAGGATACCTAGCCTGAAAGTTACGTCGCTGTAGTTTTAACCTTGGCCTAGCAGTAGTTTGTTGTGTCTCAAAAACAATTCCGAATGCCAAAAAAACATGGATTTATCAGTTATCGGTTAAGCTCAGTTCAAGTACAGTAAGACTGGTAAGTCATTGTATGTTTCCAAATTTGGCTGCAACAGGTATCTTTTCTATCGAAACAGCGATGTGTATCTAAGCAATCCGAGTGTGTAGGATGTTCAGAACACCAAAGAACATGGTGACTCGTTGGTTTACACAAGAAGCGACCTTACACTTCTCAGTTTGGGAATGTTATCTTGCGAATACACACCAGGCCGTTTGTTTGAATGGGAGCCACGTGACCATAGTTGAGCTGCCTGTGTTTTGATCAAGATCTGCGTGCAAATCTCAGCATTATGACGTTCTGTCACTGATGGGCTTCCGTGAGTGGTGAATCTTCAGATGCGCACGTAATCAAACATGACTAACACTGGTCATGTAACCATACCAATTTCGCCGCAGCGTGCGTTCACAAATCAACAATCTCAATACGCACAGCAGCACTCTGCATGCATTCATTTTTCAAATTCCAAATAAAAAATGTCTTTTCGAAAACATACCACATCGACAGGTGTGCCTTTTCACAAAGAAATATTCAGAAGAACAATTATCTGACGGTTGGTTGGCGATATTTTTGCCCTGACCATTGAATAAAATGAACAATGTGGTAGGAAAGCCGGTAGTTGAAGAAGCCACTACAAAACTGTCAAACTAACGGTTTCGATTGTAAGCACATCGGCATCTGACGGCGAGCGTAAAACGGCCGAATTTTTCTATGCAGAAAAGGTCGAATCAAACAAGCCCGGGTTAGATGTTATGCGGGCAAGTTCTCCTAATTGAATTCAGTTCAGTTTAAACAGCTATAAACCGTGTACTATTGACACATTGGTTCCAGTTTCAACCAGCGGAAAATGGGAGAATATTGTACATATAGCCAAGCTTTAGAGGCCATGGTAAGTTCAGTTAGTTCGAGAACTAGGTCGCTACAGATTGAAGGCATAGCTCTCATTTACGAGTGCCATTGACTGATCGAGTGGGCCATTTCTTCCACAGCCACTAACCATTGGTGAGATGATTACCGGAGCCCTCATCCAGGGAGGTGGCAACTGTCGACTCAACTAAGTTTACTGGTTAGCGCACTCATAGTTCGTTGCCAGGTCATACATTGTCCACCTGCCGGTTGCTTTCACTCAGCACAGGGCTGGACGAAAAAAGCTCTGCAAGGCAGATGGTCTCCTGGCATGTGGAATACATATCCTAACCAGTGTAACCTATAAACCGATGGTAAAGCACGAACATCTGTACATAAGGACCACGTCTCTGATCCATAAGGCAGGATGGATTTCACCACCTCAGTGCCCTTGACAGACAAACTGACGTTACACCACAGTCCGATATTCCATTGAGCAGTGGATGCCGCGGATAAGTTGAATGTCCAGTCAGGATAGGACTGCAAAGAAACAAAATATGTTCCAAAAAAAGAAGCCAACGGTTGTTGCTACGTGGACCATTGCTACGATGATTGGTTGTTCATACGTAAACCGATTTGTTGGTTGCCTGCCCGACCGGTGGAAACAATCCAACGTTATGGCCAGTCTTCTCGTTACAACAACGCCATCAACTAACTATACCCTGCAAACGATTGTGTATTTATGACGTTATTCGAACATACAGTATTTCGAACAAGAGCCGTCCCTGGAGGGATTCTTTGTCCAATAGAATTGTGAAATGGTATAACCGTTTAGCTGTTCTTTCTTCCAATGGAATCTGTGTGGAGCTTGCAATATCCTAATAACGCTGGGGTACAATGTATCTTGTTGTTGAGCTTCGTTTTCTTCACTAGGGGCCACCTACAGCCGTTATACAACGAAAAATCTATTCTTCAGCCTACAGGCCACGTGACATAACCAATTGTAGCTCATGCTCCGGTCAGTCGTTTCATCTCGGCTTACAGTTTCTTTTTTTAGCTTCATACTTCCAAACTGCATTTTACTATTTCGGGGTAACGCTACGGTTAGATAGCAAGCGTTGTTCCGTGGTGACATAAGTCACCTCAGTTTTGGATTGCAGGCTACATGTCCGCCGATAAGTGGGTAAGCCACTGAGCACAAATATCTCATTCAAGGAGTGTTCGAAAACGCAACCAAATGGGTCGCCACACATGACACGTATTCCTCCTCATTGAAATAACAGGGCTTCTAGATGAAGAAGGGCACATGTCCGGGTCAATCAACAGTCGCGGAGGAATTAGCTTGACTTCTGTCACCAATTCTACGACATCTTACTGAGGTTTGTTAGGACGGGGCCCCAAGACAGCAAGCCAGTCTATGAACTGAAGGTGGGTGTGTGGGCCATGTGAAGCGTTAGAACAATGACGTGCCAATAAACGTCCGTTGACATCGATAGTGCTTTCAACTATATCAATCGATCAGTTCCCTTCAGCACGCTTGAGTAAAGGAGTTTGACCCGTACGTTCATGAATATCATACGCAGTCTAGCTTGAATTCTCTTAGTTGCGTTAGAGTGTATGGAGAGATATCCAAAAGCTATTTTATGAACAGTGCTTCCAAGAATAACGTCCATTTTTTCTTCTTTATCTCATTTCACGGATGAGATGGGAGGGCAAACACAGGAAGTTCCTTCAAACTTCTGTTTTAAGTTTTCTGCGAGTGAGAAGTTAGTCAATTTGGAATATCGACAAAGCATTCTTTTGAACAAGATCAAAAGACAAAAGCAATACTAAAAAACTAACCGGGGCCGTTTAGTCTTTTAGCATGTGTTTCGCTCTTACAGTTAAGTCGTGTCGCAGAAAGTACAGCCATTGAACATGCCTCTGGTTGATTTTCGTACTGTTCTCCTTCTCAGATGGGATGTGAGTGACCCTCATTGTGCTTAACTAAAGACACTGGAAGACTTGGCGAGTAAACGATTTTTTCTTTCCATTATGAAGCCTTATTCAAATAGATAGATTTGAGGCATTGAGGCACCAGAGTTTTGGGCTGGCTTTGATCTCAATGAAGATGACATTCAGTATATTTCTACATGCATATATCACGTTTACTCCCCATACTGAATGAAATGTTCACATTCGTTTGACTTCTGTAGACATCACAGACAAGCTTTTAGCCTTAAATCTGTGCAAAACGTGCATACTCTGTATACCCTATGACATTCAGTTTTCCCTTTAATCCGAGCGTTTCATGCAAAAGAATAGAATAGGACAGCACACGGCGAGCGTATTTTGGAACCGTTGCATGCCTCCGGGTTTCTTCAATTCTCCGCCATAAATCAGTCGTTCCGAAGCAAATTTTTATTAGTACGCGGCAAATAGACACTATTGTTTGACACGTGTATCCGTCATTGAATCCAGCAGGAGAGTGGGCGTTCTTTTTGTTTGCTCATTTGCGTCTGTGAGATGTATGTTGGGAAAGTTGCAACCCCGGTTGTTCTAGTCGTTGCAATCCTGCGCACAAAGAAACAACGAAAACCAGTTTTCCGATGTAGGCTATAACAAGACGAAGAATACAATATCGAATTAACGGGAGCAAAAACCTGAGAGTCTTTAGCAACATTCTCAAGTAAATTTAAAAGGAAATGCCGCATTGTTGAAATAACTAGTTTCCGTAAGGCTTTTTTGTCGGAGGTTCCCACGAAGTACTTGCTGGTCTCCAGAGAAAAAGCCAAATCGAACCTATTGGTAAATCAGTCCGTAGTAGGGCGCAATGTTTCACCGAACGTTTTCGTGCGTCAGCAAGACGTTCACTGGAACAAATATCCAAGACTAGCAAATTATCACTGACTTCCTGCACGTGAAACATGGATAGCGAGCGGACTTAAGTCTATTTAGTGACGTAACAAAGTGAGTAGCTCACGGGGAAAGCAAAACCCATCAATGATTGAAACGTTCATCTGGGAAGTCATTTCTTGAGGAGGTATCCAACATTTATGAACATGTGATGTGAATCCTATGATGGGAGGATGGGCGGCGCCATATCCGAACTAAGGGCGAGTTGGTAATGCGAGGAGATTTGGGTTTTCTGAGGAGATCTCGTCCTGTAAGTTAAGTCAAACTATGCTGAAAAGCCGACAAGCACTGTACAGATGTTTCATTCTTATTGGGTATCATCAGCAGTGCGCATCTCTAGAAACCCCAGGGAGTCTCGAACCCGCGACCTCCCGGCTATTAATTTGAACACTTAACCTTGCGAGTTACTTACACTGATGATAATTCTTTCTCGGCCGAAAGACTAGGCGTTCAGATTTTTCAATCGGATGGCCTCTAGTTCCAGACCCTGAAATTTCGCGAGGTGCACATAGATTAGTTTACGTACAGGATGAAATGCAAGATGAACCAGTAAAAAAGAACTATTAATAAAAAGCCCATCAACGAGGTCTCAGCAAAATTATCTGAACTCAGTCCATCAATCGGTTTTATGAAAATGTTAACCACGTTTATTCCTGTAATAACTCTGTCAGCTGGTTTCCAAAGAACACTTTTGAAATCGCACTGTGTAATTACGCTAGTCAAAGCGATGTGTTAATCTAAGCTTATGCGATGATTTTTTTGAAATTCACATGTAATCCACTGCAAATCTGGTCCCGTTTTGTTCGTCTCTGTAATCTGTTGAAGTCATTAACTGCGTTGAACAGCTTCATGGTTTACTTTGAGCTCATGGGCATCGTAGTTGGTTGAACTGGCGATTCGATAAAGTCCCTCTTTGCCAGTGGTATATTCATATTCCTTTTCATAGTGTGCAGAACAGAAGTAGTTTTGATAGTCCAGTCCGTAAAAGTTCATTACTTGTAAGTAATAAGTAATACCTGTGTTAAGCATCTTTGCAAAGAGGCTTCAAGGCTGCCTGTGTGATGCGCCATCTGCCTCAAAGACTGCGAAGGATTCCATCGGCTTTCAGGCTCCGCGATTCCAACATGCCACGAAGAAGACAAATATCATAAATTACAATAAAGTCACACGAATAATCACTTTATGGTCGCGAAATACACTCATTTGCCAACAAATTTGGTTTTGCGATAGACTCATCTGGAACCCGTATCACAAAGGAGGGATTCATTTGAGCTCCAGGCGAGTCTCTCGCAAAACCAAATCTGTCTTCAGATGAGTATATTTTGCGAATTTCGAGCAATTCGGTTTAAAGTAAAGTATTAGGTTGACGAATACTCGGGGACCGCTGATGAGCCCTAAGAAGGGCGAAACCGGTCGTGGGCTGCCGAGGAAGTTTCGAATAGTGCATTACGATTCACTTGATATATTGGGAGAGATTTTGTGAAATATGTGGTTTTAGCCCCTAGCATGCATCCACCGCGATATCATTGGTACCATTTTGAGTAGTCGAATTAGTCCTTCTTGCAAAGGGATATGGAATGTTTACAGAACAGCGTGAAATTACAGGATGTTTTCTAAGCTGTTTATGTACTGGATGCATTGTAGCAGAGTTATGTCTTTTATCATCCTCGGTGGGCTACAAAACTCGAAAGGCTGTGTTCCGATTGGGTCACTTTTTGTGAATTACTGGTCCTAAAGACGGTAGTCCACTGAGAGTGAACTTGTCGATCGAAGCTGCCTGTTTTAAACATAATTTGGCAGCTCAGTTTTCTTAGATAAAATAAAAAAAACATTGAAAAAATCATTGAGAACCTGCGGTGATGCAAAGACAACTGAGGCACTTAGACTAAGATCAGGAGGTCCTCATCGCCGATCACAAGTCACCAAATCACAGAAGTTCTGGGATTTTTCACAAAGCATCTCCCATAGCAATTTTACGATAGAAAAAATTAGCCTTGGTAATAACTGAAATAATACTTATCAAACTGTAGCGGGCGAAATTGCATTCTTTGGAAATTTCGCCTCCACAATTTTGGTCAACTTGGGTGTCGTTTGCAGTCATTTAGACCTGCGCGTCCATTGTTAGAATACTGACACTTGTTTCTTCTTGTTTTTTATTTTTGTGATTGGACAATTAGCCTGACTACTAGTGTCTTTCGGTCTGCACCCTCTCTCCATCAAGGCCGGTGGTCCACTCAAAAAGATATTGAAATTTGTCCGGGGGAACACTGAACTGACACCTGTCGTTTTGTGACAAGAATTAGGAGAGAGCTGTGGGTTATTTTGCAGCGGGCGGATAATTCTGTGAATAATCATGCCGACATTTCGCTTCTTCTTTTAGACCTCGATCTCCGGTCAAATGCTAATCACTACCAACAGCTTCGTTTTCACCCCAAACTTGGAATGCGTCACCGATTCGAATCAGTACCATCTTTTACTTCCCTTAGCCCGAATTCGATCGGTCGCAGTGTACAAAGATCACTCGGTGCTCTATTTTACCAAACGGGATTCGTAAGTTTGTGTCTCACTAATAGTTCAGTTTCCATTTGTTTAAGTTCAGTCACAAGTATGTGGATCATACGCTGACGTTTCTTCTGCATTCACTCCGCTTACCCACAGTCAACAAACGTATGGTTTCTGATGTTATAAATTTGTGTAGAATACCGGGTTGATAGTGTTTCACCGATTAAAAGGTTAAATCATAAACGGCCCGTAACCAAGGGGTCAAAATGAGTTATGCTTTCAACAGGTTACTTGATATATCACCAAGGCCTCGCTTAGAAGCAACAAATGGCGGTAATGTCCAGGATTTGCGGAGACACGGTTCATTAAGCCTAGAAAAGCAACCGATTTAGGGAGACATGGTTCATTAAGCCTCGAAAAGCAAGCCATTGCAACTAGTGTCAAAAGTTAGGCTAGGCTTATCGTGCTACGAAAGGAATCACTTCAATAAGACTATTTCTGCAATAAACTTGAAGAAGATACGCAGATTTCACACGCACCATTTTGTCTATCATGGGCCTGGGTTTCAGGATCTTCAGTGCCACCTCTCCAAAGCATGCGAGATGAATTAGTTTTAAGGCAGTTTAGTTAAAAACCTGTCCCTATCCAAAAGACACCGACCTCGGGTGTACTTAACCCTTCGTCCTCAATCAGTTTAGTAGAGTGCGTTTATCAGAATGAATGAATATACCGGTGTTAATTCCTTTGTCAATCACCCCTTGAAAATTCCTGTTCAACCATGTTCAAATCAGTAATTCGAACGTCATCTCACCGGAGCTTTGAATTTGTGGTCACCACAACAGCTTTTTAGACTTTTAGAGTGCTTACCTGCTATTTAAATAAAACTTCACCCCTTGAAAATTCCTGTTCAACGATGCTCGAATTAGTAATTTGAACGTCACTTCACCGGATCTTTGACTTTGTGGTCAAAAGTCTTTTAGACTTTTAGAGTGCTTACCTACTATTTAAAGAAAACGTTAGAACACCGATGTTATATGGAACTTAATGGGTGATGAAACAATACTAACTGTACAGAGTTGCGACATTTTTAATGAGAACATTCGTCTAAAACAGGTGTTTGCCCATTTTACTGCACGCAAATGCATGTCAAATCGATATTTTAGGACTGTCAGATATCCGCCATGTTAATTTCTCGAATCAAGGATTCTCGTGCTCTGCAAACGGAGTGCAAAATTCTCAATACATCTGCACTTGCGTGTCCGCAAAATTCAAAGTTTTGTCATCAGTGATGCGTTGGGCTTTGACAATTTCTGAGTTTCACCTCTCTCCTATTCTCGGAAAACAAAAATTTGGATTCTACACGTAATTTACTTACCTGAGGGTAATCTGACAAGCAATTCTAACCATAGACTTCCTTGTATAGTGACCCTCAAAATAGACGATTTGTTCGTGCCGGAATTTCATGTTGAGGAGTCTCAGAACAGCAAGACTTTTATATCAACGCCGTGTGATAGAAGTTCACTGGGCGATAAACTACCGAACTATCTCGGCTGCGACCTTACACTTCCGAAGATAAAAGTGGCGCAATGGATAGGGTACCAGTTGTTGCGCACTGAATAAAAGTTGGAGGAACTCGTCAGATACCGGTCGCGAACGTGGGTTAAGAAACGACATTAAGAATGTGATTAAAGAACAAATGAACGACGGCGGGTGACGTCCAATCACCTCTAATTTTTATTAGCAGGCAATGAAAAATTTCATCTATGATTTGAGTACATAGTTGATGCGGTTCAACATCAACTTGGCCAGATTTCATCGCTTTACAGTAGTCAGATTTTCAGTTTTGTCCTGTTCTGAAAGTGAAAAGAAATAGAAGAGGCAAGCGGAAAGAACAAAGCGATTATCAAGGGAATTTTAGGAGAACACTTTACATCGTTTTTTAGGATTTTTGATCCCATCAGAAGATACAAGTTTGGCCGTTGTTGAAAACGCCCAGAGGCGATCATTCACAGGAAAAGAAGGAGCTGAAACGCCAATGAGGCTTGGTGTGTGGCAGTTTAGGCTAACATATCTGACGGAAAGTAAAGCGGTCAAAAGCAAATTTGTCGCAGTACACCAAATCAAGTAGCAGAGGCGTTCCTCGTAGGCTGTTCGTAACAGAGGAAGTTGGAACATGCATTCGAACAAAGAACGTTTTGGCATCTCTTACATATTCACTGGTCGGTATAAATTAATCGACCGAAACCCACGAATTATTCCGTCATTTTTAGCGTGGAAGACCCCACAGCCCTCCGTCAGTAATGATGGTAACATTACCACTGTTTTTCTAAGCACACAGGGATGTCACCCAAGAAGCTCGGGATTCTGTTGTGCATTACTGATTGCAAAAGATCGCCGATAGTAAACCAACTTCATAAGATGAAATACAGAGCACTAATCTGAGGGGAGTTGGTCGCTTAAATCCTTGAAGCAACCACCCGGAATTTGAAAATATTTCTTTGATAACCTGGTCGTTTCGCAACTCGCCCTTTACCGACTCGCGGGGTTCGATAAATCGTTGGGAAATCTAAGTCCCCACCAACGTCACGGCGATCCCATTATCGATATGCTTGTGATTAACCGGTTGATCATCAATTTACCGATCGCCATCAGAACACAAGCAATAAATAGTTTCCACCCAACCGAAAATAAGCCGGGTCATATTCCGTCAAATTTTGCGATTAACCGCGCAATCACTCATCAAGAGAACGGCATTCTCTTCTGTGAGATCGATAGGTTCAGTGGTTGTCCTACATTTCTCCATAACTAATCGAAGTTAGTACTTCATTTTAAGTATATACACGCATGCATGCACAAAACGTTTTTTTGGATGTTGGCGCTTCCTCTGTCTGCTTGTCCCTAGATTAATATTCCGCTTTCGATAATAGTCCACCCTTAGTGCGTGAACGCCCACGGGGTAAGCTCAGCGCGGGAGGCGATCGAAAAACGTAATTATTCGCGGGATTTCTACCACTGAGTTGTTTTGTTAGCCCCAAAAACAACTGGCGCTTTCTACTCTCCAGCCGTTTAAAGCAAATATGCCTCCAATTGATTGAGTTCATTCATGCCCTCAAGACCTTGGGATTCGACAGCATTCGTTTCGCGATCCGTTCGAGTGAAGCTGCTTGCAAACGACAAGACCAGAGGGAGGACGAACCTCGCGAATAAATCTCGGTCGTAACAAAAATCAAACAAATTGCAAACGCGACAAATTATGGGCTTCACAAGATCTGGATCTTACCCCGGGAAGTAGTTCTCGAAATTTCCCTAGCCGTATGTTTTAGTTGCACCAAATCGGCGAATTACACTCAATATCAGGTTACACTATCGGTCAGAGAAAGTAAACCGAAAGATATTGTAAACGAAGAATGCAACCAAGTTACCCATTGATGCGAAAGTAACAGTCTGTGAGAATAGTTTTCAGCTACCTTATAGGCAACGCTTCGCGCCAAGAGCGTACATTTCGGTTTGTCGAGAATGGCGCCACTTGAAACATTGGACGGTTATTGTGCGGCATTTTCGGTTGGAGAAAATATCGTTAACGGAGATTTAGTTGAGTCTCTCACCAAAAAACAGGCAGCAACCCAATAAATGCTTCTCTATTTACACGACACCTGGTTCTATCAAGCTAACTATGAGACCGAACAAAAAGATAATTCCTACTAAGAACACTGTTCCAAAGGCGTCATCGAGTAGCGAAAAGTTTTCCCTATTTAGATTCGGCGGATATTCTAAGAATATTTTGACGAAACTCAAGAACAGACGGATGTCTTAGGAATGAAAACAGAATCTATCTAGCCTGTTATGGCCGACAGTTTGGCTTTGAGGTCAAGATGCCAGTCGACGTTCACAGGCTTTGAACCGAGAACGGACAATTCATCAAGACCATTCTGTTAATCCGCTTTTTCCAGAATTGCTCAACTTATTATTTCTTCTTTGGTGTAAAGGCATATGGTTTCGACCCGTTTGCATTCCGGCGGAAGAACAAAGAGTAAATCCCGGAGCCCTTTGGCGTCCGAAACGCGGAGTCCTCCACTACACACTGAAATCCAAGATCCATTCCAGCTGGCCGAAACAGTTGAGCCAGTCGAAGCCAACCCGGAATCAATGGATACCGGGTTACCAGACACCTCGATCGGAAGCACGCCTCCGGTTGTGGACCAAAAAGATGAAACTATTTCTCAGCAAGGCGATTCTGTGCTGAAAGCCCCCCTCTCAAGTAATACGGTTGTGATCCCTTCAGACTCAGGTAAGAACCTAGGATTACGAGTAGTTTTACAATGAAAAGATCAACAAAATCAACTTTGTCGTCACATAAAAATCGTGTATATTTTGTATAAGGATCGTATTTGCCACGGTTTCTTTTATCAGAGAAACAGGACTGTACTGAAACGTAGTGAAGGCGTATAAATCAGAGGGTGGAAGTAGGCTGTCTGTCGGCAAATCGGTACACAAAGTTATTCATTGAATGCGATTGCTTGGCCTCACCTGAGCCACTAAGAGCCCAAATGAGTCACATATCCCTGAGGTCACTGATGTTTCTCACCACGAAGCTGTCATAGTGTGAAACGCTCATACGCTTCTTCCCCTCTTACCTTTACTCCAATAACTTGTGTGAAGAGGATGTTTGAAGACGTCGGTAAGAAACAATGAATGGCTAATTCAACCTGACGTTATAATCTACCACACGAGGCGCGCTATCATTACCAACAAATAAAGGCTTTGGATCTGACTAGGTGTGAGGTTTGTTACACATGTTTGGTAGAGTAATCGTTTACTGAGTGTTAGTCAAATTGTTTATCTAACTCGCTGTCTGCTATCACGAAACACCCGACGCACACCAGGTTATGGATTAGAAATTTAAACGGATGTTTATAAGAAAGACGCGGTTGAATTCTAAGCCCAGGGATTACTGTGTCTGTCGGCAGTTGTCTGACCCCAGCCATTCAACAGTATTCAGCCAACCCTGAGGTGAAGACTGGTCTGACCAAAAATCACACGTGTGGTAAACCCACCAGATGAGTGAATTCGACCACATACCAGTTATACTGAGGACCAAATCCTCACTTTGCTAATCGGAGGCAAGTAAATCCACCTAAGCAGGATACGGGCACTCCCAGGCTTCCTGTTAGAGCAATTTTATTCCCACTGCTAATTTGGATATCTTGCTTTTGTCACGCGAATACTTCATTACTCACACGTGTTCTCATAACTCGTCAAGCAAATTGAACTGTATCCTGAGGTTCTCAATATTTGCATCTACCTAAAGACCAAAATTTGAAATCTTTTTCTGGTGCCTTGCCTTCGACACTGCTAGCCTAGTCGACTCAAGCCGTTTCGAAAGTACTCTTGAACCCTTCATGCATCTCCCGATAAAGCCAGATGATTGCAGTACACAGAGTTCAAGAAGTAATCAACACGCTTTTAAAAGGAATCCAGTTTCTGTTTGGAAGAAAATGGCTTGATAAGGCCATTGCATCTTCAGCGAATTGTGGAAATCCAACGTCCACATATCTGATCTGAACTACTGACAAGTAGACTAAATTTAAATAGAATATAAAAGGCGTTTTTCTTCATGTTCTCTGGCTGAATGAATATCAGTTACATTCACCTCTCCAGGGTAATCAAGACGGGTCCTGGATATCCGGCGATCAGATATGTCAACCGTTTATGTTATGAAACCGGGATTCGAGCTCCGTCCACACCACTGTCAGGTGCACCGCTTTTCTACATGTAATGCTGAATGGTTAGGAGCATATTTAAGCCCGAATCCATTTTCGGGGCAAACGCAAAACGGCATTTCCCTCCAAGGTGATATTTTGTTACATAATGTCGTACTGGGAAAACTGCAAGTAGCAAATGAACTGATGCATATTAACTGGGGACAGTTATAAAAAGATTCCTCTCCCTGCTGACCGATTTGGGGACTTGAACCCATCGCTCGTTTTCAATTCCAAAAAGGGTGGTTTCTGTATTCTTTTACAAGGATTAATAGACATGGGCCAAACGTGTTATTCCAAAGCGGGGCGTTTCGGCTACAAACTTTCCATATCCTGTTCCAAATCTCCATGTTCGAACTCAACCCTTCTGGTTAGTTTGCACAGCAATTCAAAACGAAATCCTTCAGGCAGTTGCAAACTTGATTTGCGCGCATGCCAATTCACCGCAGAGATGTTACGTTGCGCTAAGGTAGCGCACTGAGCAGTTGTCTTCGAGAGCAACCCTCTACCCTATTAGCCTCGATGGGCTCCTCAGGTGGGCGAATATATCCAGGTTGCATAATACTAGTTCTTCAACGAGCACCTGTAAGTTTGTTGGTTTGGACGGTATCAACATGAAATCCCCTGTTCGTCGAGCTTTTCGCCGGTAAAGGTAGCGGGAGAATGGTACTGGTGTCATTTTTAATCAGCATGCAAGACTTTGAAGTGAAGCTAGCAACCCAAAAACGGTTTTGTGTTCTGCATTGTTGTACATTGTTTGTGGTGGGATAAAATTCGATAACTTCAATAGAGACTTCATCCTGAAAAGTAAAGCTAGTTTGTGCTGTAAATCGAAGCAGTACTGCACAGCCTCTTTCTTCTTATTCACGATCATCAGTATTGCGTATCTGACAAAACTCCAGAAATATTCGAACCAGTGAACTCCCTGCTAGAAGTGTGAAGTCATCCATTCTGCCGCTAATAGTTGACCACAAGTGTCTAGCTCGCCATCAGACAAGATCTAGTGAAGGTCACCCTCCAGTCACGGGTTCATATCAAGCAGTCTCACCTGTTGCCTGGTTCCTCGAGTGAAGGCATCCCAGATGAAACTTACCCTCTTGAAGTTACTTTTATTCTTCTTCTGAGCTGCTCACTGTTGATGGTTTTCGATAAGGGTGAAAGAGCTCTATGGTGCTACGTGGCATGGACTGGCTTCACCTAAATTACGAAATATCCATTGAAAGATGTAAACCAGAGGAAGCTTTTTTTCTCACCGTCCCGCTTTCATGATCTGCCGTACTTAGAGTCAGCACATACCATCACTTCGGGCGTTTTTTGTTAGTATGACAGGGTTATAGGTCATTCTAAAGGCATATTTACTAATTTTGTTCATCAGAGATGTATGTTTTTCCCATATTTAGGATTTCACTTTGTGCAAGCTCAGTAGACTTTATATAACTTTGTTGCACAGAGAAAAATGCGCCGAGGGTACCAAACTCTCCTTTTTGTGGATTGCGAAGGTACACTTTAGGTCAGTATTGTGAAGTTGGAGGTTGGAGAGATTGACTGTTCTGGAGGAGAAACAATAGAAAAACAATAGAATATTGGTAGACTCTGTTGTTATTAAATAGCTCAGCGGGCGGGCGCTTGTGCTCCTACGTTCGGCAAAGCTGTAAGGTAAATCAGGGTAAGACGCATACCGCCAGTGAGCACCTACTATAGATTTTTCATCAGAGATCATGTGATCGCGGAACATGGATGAACAACACTACTCTTACTGATTGACTGGGTAGCGTGACTTATCTAGAAATTAAAATCGCATTGCAATGACTGCATCATGCAGCAGTGAACGTTTGGTTTTGAACCAAAGCGATTCACTCGTGTTCAGTAAATATCGATATTTCTATTTTGAACATTCTGAACAAATTAATTAATGCCGTGACTTTAGAAAGACATCATTATGTGTGCGGCAATATGACTGACCTCCGAAGGCAATCGAGATCCATCAGAGTGATCACTGTTTCCGAATTTCTGTAGACTCTATGGAATATTTGTGCGTTCTGGCCTCCAAAGAGGATGCTACCGGTAAACGTCATCCAGTTTGGTTCACGTTGCAGTCGGAAGAATATTGGTTTCGAATACCGGTGGAGAAGTAAGTGAAAAGTAACAAATTCACGCCGTAAAATGTATTTTCTCTTGGGAACCGGCAGACACAATTAGAGTGAATTCGTTTCGGCTCGAGAATGCTTCTGCGAAAGCCTTCTGGTACAGTCCTGGTTTTGGCTCATTCAATTAGGACCTTCAAATTCAGCGCCTCCGCTCCGAGAAATGATCAACACCCGAATTCGTTACTCTTTGTTAAGTGCGCGCACTCATTGAAGAATACGTGTTGTATTCTTGGAGCCCAATTAAATGATGCGCGGAATCACAAGTCAATAATAATAGTAATAATAATAATAAAACTGCGGCATTATATGTNAATAATAATAATAATAATAAAAAAAATAAAACTGCGGTACTATATGTACAGAAAGCATACATGAGACAAACCTCGAATCATGGGAATTAATGGCTAATTGTCACGTGAATCGGTGCGAGCCAAAAGAAAGCTTGGTAAGGAGACCCGAATCACGAACAACCGTGCGCGAACAGTACATAGTGGTACAGGTGATAAATCGGTGCAAGTTATGTTGTAAAATGTACCGGGCTGGTAATCCAGTATGTTTATAAATGATATACTATGCAGCACTACGTCGTCTTCTACCCTGAAATTGGCGGCTTTAGTAATTTGTTTTCCCTCACTAAGTAGATCTACATGTCACATAACAAAACCAGTTGGGCTGTCTAACTAAGTCCTTGAAGCGTAGAAGGGGGGTGATCTCTTTAAGATTTTATCACGGAAGAGATTTCACCGAATCAGGGAACAACCTCCGTGAATCCCATCCAGATTCCAATAGTTACACGTAGCCTGCTTCATCCCACACCAAATTAAACCACTATGCTGTTTAATGCAACCGTAGCTCCACTTGCTGATGTTCAACCACAACCTCCGTGAATCCCATCCAGATTCCAGTAGATAAACGTAGCCTGCTTCGTCCCACACCAGATTAAACCACTCTACTGTTTAATCCAACCGCAGCTCCACTTGCTGCTGTTCAACCAGGCATTTGTTAACCAAAATATGGAATGTCCGTCTCGCAGTGCTCCACAAGTAACTTACAAGGGTTTCATCATCACTCAAGAAGTTTCTACCAGTGCACGAGACAATGGGATTGGAAGAATACTTTATTCACAGATCCACACAAAATGTATGGAACTCATTCAGACGCTAACTGCAGATGCCTCCCTGATTAGCAATTAAATTTTCGCAACCAAATTTTTGTAAATTATCGATGTTTTGACAGCACTTCCAGAAGAATATAAACACCGAGTGCTGTCTACATAGTACAGCTGCGTTTCTGTCAATGTTATTTCATACTGGTAAGCCAGACTTTTGAATATCCTAAAATATGTGAAGATTTAGGTCAGTCGTCAATTAGGCACTTTGAACCTATGGGAATAAACTTAATCGTCCGGTTTCATATATTCACTAGTTTCATTGTTAAAGCGACCAGATGGATACTTATCAATCAATTAATAAACATAGCATTAACAATGGAGGCCTGAAAGAACAAGGTTTGTGGTGGTCTGTGTTACCGGTTAGCAAATTCTTTGTCGGTCTGTAAACTTTGACCACGATCATACTACTGAAGACCACATAGTAACTAGGACGGGTCTGGTATTTGGCAGTATTAGCCAACAGAATCAATCTCTTTTCACTGCTGCATCTTCCAGGCATGGAATGGACCTCCCCTCAGTTGTCATTTATAGCAGTTTACATTATGAGACAGAGCCGGGCGTATCCATGGTGTCCGTACCTACTGCCTATCAATTTTTGCTGTCGGGACCTTAGCAAAAAGCAACACAGGTGTTCACTGGTTGGTTCGACCATAGATGTTTCTTGGGAAACTTCTAAATGGGACTACCGCGGTCAGTTTCAGTTGTCTTCTTTGCCAAACTATTTTAGAAATCACTGCTCCTCTATACGTTGCTTGGTGCTATCGTAACCAAGCCCAATGTTACTTTTATCTTACAATTGAGCGGTCACAGCGCACTGCTTGTGATTTATTGACCCGGACATCGTTGTTTGCCAAGACAACTAGGTTGAACCGGATTCGTCAGAGCGAGCATGGCATTGTGGTTCACTAGAAGGGTATATTTCTTGCTGTTTCAAAGCCTGGACAACCACATATCTTTTTTCACAATTACAGAGGACCAATACTCTTCCACTTCCTTCAAGCCTGTGAATTTGATGAGGAAGCAGTCGACGAGAAATTGGTGCCCTCAGCTCAGTCTCGGTTGCATGGTCCAGCGATTCATGAATGCATGACTTCACCAGCTGAGTTGTGTGAAACCACAACCAATTCGGGAACTGGCGGATTCGTTTTTGTTCCAAATACCTATGACTGGCTCCTTCCACGAATCGGTAGCGTAGATGAGCGTTCCAGGGCATTGTTGCGGCTGAGCCGCAAGCGGCGACGTCGAGTTCAAAGTTGCAAGCACATTGTTCCCAGTGCTGCCGCAATAGACCAATCAATGGTCTCTTCTACACACAGTGTGTGTTCATTAGGCGCAGACACCGATACAACTTCCAGTGTTTCCAAACAACGGAACCTCTCCACTGCACGCAGCACTCCAACATTAGACGAAGAAAAGGATGCACTGCATCTTCTGAAAAAGGAGTCTGTTCGATGGGAAGTGAGTTTTACCATTTGCAGCTCTAAAATTTGACGACATAACTTGTAGCGTGTTATCTTCGATTCACTTATCATTGACAGACGCTTCTGTTTTGACTGTCTCCAGCATTGGAATCCTTAGTAGTCCACCCAGTAAAGAGAGGGATTATTGTATTTGTACCTCCAGAGGCATCCAAACTCCTCGTCTTTGGGATTCCTTTATTTCCGCTTTGTTCACGGCTTCACGTTGTTTCAACTTGAGTTTAGATTCCTACCATAATATTACTTAAGGTTTATTTTTGGAAACGACTTTCACTCCGTTTGTTCTCAGAGATGGCTCAGTGGTTTAGGCGCCAGCTTACGAACCAGAAGGCCCTTGGTTTGAAACCCACCAAAGCATCTCCACTGCACCTATCTAGATTTGGGCAACCTGGCAGTATCTCAGCCTCGTGGTTCCTTCGATGGCATGGCAACTAGACGCCGAAAGGGTGCCACGGCTTAACAACTATTCTTACTTATTATCATTACTGCGTTTATCAATAGTGGATACTTGTGTGACACGTGTCCTGTGACATGGATAAGTAGTGCGTTTAAGATATTTGAATTAGGCCGCGCAATGTATTAAATTTCCATTTCTTTTCACCTTGAAATTCGACGATCCATTAGGAATACAACATTGTCGTGAGAATAGTGCATTGAAGGAGTGATTAAAAAGATGGTGCGCCGTCCACCACAGACTGAACACTTGCTGGATCAAACTTCAATAAAATGTTTACAGTGCTCCACCGAAAAAACCAGATATAATCTGCCCATAAATTAGAAGAATTGGGCACTCCGATTGAGCTTCGCATCTGATAAGTCCACACATGACCACAAAATAGGGACTGTTTGATGTTACGATAAGTGTCGATACAACATGTTTAGCTGAGAATTACTCACACTGCGGCTGAAATGCTAGCAGTTGAATCTTGCATCGCTGGGCACCAACACCAAAGTCAATCTCCCGGAGGACATCGTATCCGGACAGAAATGTGAGAGGACAAAACTAGAGATCATAGAAGTTATTTCAAGGTACCGGCCGGTCGCATAAAGCAGGCGATGAAGGAGACGTCTATAGATTTGAAAAATGATAAGCTGTCATGCAGAAAGACTTTACGCAAATTCCACGCTGGTTGTTTCAGTTCAGTTGTCTTTGATTTAGTGGGTTACACATACCAAGATGCACGATGTGGGTGTATAGGACTGACTTTGACCTACTGAGATAGAAAGGAAGAATTCCACGCTGGTTGTTTCAGTTCAGTTGTCTTTGATTTAGTGGGTTACACATACCAAGATGCACGATGTGGGTGTATAGGACTGACTTTGACCTACTGAGATACTAGTGAAAGGAAGAGGGTATCCGCTGCGGAGTTATTTGTTAGAAAACGCCAAGTGAACAGGGAAGCAAAACTCTCATATGCATCTTCTTTACAAAAACTGAATATCCATCTCATCCTTGAACGCGCCTTCATGAACTTTCCTGGATATTCACTGACTGTTGTTCAAATGCAAGCAAATGCGAATCCACAAATTTCATAATAGATCTCACTTCCCAAGAGACGCGAAACGTATTTACGAGAAAACAAACTACTCCCAGGCTCCCATCAGTAGTGTCGACCGTTACACTAGTATTCGGCATAGTTGTTGTTTAAACCTCATAAGGAACAGTGAATTATTCCACGTCTATGAAACTGTCAGTAATTGTCTTCCGGCCCTTTATCACATCCAACCAAGTCCTGATACGCCAACTACTTGTCACACAACCTATCTGTTATCAGTGGATTCCCACAGCCTTCCAACACGCTTGGGAGCACTTTGTTCACTGGGTAAGCTGTGTGTGTGTGTTAGCCTGCTTTGTGTGCGATCTGGGTGATTTTATTCCTTCCAGAGGAGTACTTGGGAAAATTTGTTTTACCTGATAAAACGCACCAGCTTATCTGCGGACTTATTTATGTTCCTTGAGTTTGTTATTTTTTACCTTCATTTATGCGCGCTTCATACCATTTGCTTCCGCTGTTACGCTCGCAAATGCATTTTGTGGAACGATTTTTGTTTGGCAACGGTTTTCCGCATCGAATTTTATTTATTTAATTTTCACCTCAAGATTGCCGAGGCCTTGATGCGTATAAGGAAGAAGGGAAAATTCAATTTCGCTTCTGATTCGCATGTTTTCTGTCCAAATTTTTCCGTTAAAGCTGTCATGTGCCTTCGATTTACAAGTTTTTGCAGGTGTTTCGATGAGATGTTATTGGATACTTAATGGATTTAAGCACCGAATTTAACACTGTTACTTACACCCGTGCCAAAACATTTTTTCATGATATGGTTATTTTGTAAACGGTACTCAGCCGTACAGAGCTCGTAAGATCCTGGTTGAAATGAAGGAAGCCATTTGCTAAGAACACTGAATCCTCTGTGACCGTCCATTACCAGTTTTCAATCTGCGCTCGCACAGCAGTTGCTTGTTGGTATTAGGCTTGTCAGATTGACCTCCACAACAATGTAGTTTCGACGGAAAGCCAGCGTCGGAATAGCCGAAATTAAGTTGCTAGAGTAACCAACCCTTCTCAGAATGCCTACACGGCTGACTACCACAAATTTTTCTGGCATTCAGAGGTCTCAGAAGCTTTTTGGGTCCGAGCAGGTAGCTGAAATTTGTCGAACCCATTTATTAATATCGCTTTCTCACTTGGATGAACAATATCTGAATTTGTTGCCATTCGGTCACTCGAAACTTCATTTTGCATCCTTGTTTTATGGGCACTCAGGTGGTCTCAGCCACGCACCATCGAAAACTCCCTGGAGGGTTACACTACTCAGAAAACTAATGAAAACCCTAACCATCCGCGACTGCCTTTCTGGGGTTTCACTAGATGGGCTCAGATCCCAACGTCTCCACCACATCAATTGATAGATGAGAATGTTTTGTAGAATATCACAAATGGCATCTTCAGTAAAGGTTTTTTCAAACTTTCGTTAGTAACGATTCACTGAACTTCTTCAGTCAAATCCAGCGAACAGGTGACCATATGGGTGAATGTTCAAGCGTCCTAACAAGTCCAAAGCCATCGTGGATCCACAAGAGATATGCAATTGTCACTAAAAAAAGGCAAACCACTTGGTTGGGACGACCGATTCCAAAGCTCCCGGGTCTGGCGATAGGTACTTCTCCCAAATAAAAATGTATCATACATATCGTACAGCCGAGCATCTTATTTGGTCAGCAAAAATAAAATAACCGACCTGTAGACCTACATCCAATGTGAACTCTGAGCGCTACATACAAGCAAAACCTTTTATTGTGAAGAAAGTACATTCTACCATGGTTTACGGAGGGTAAAATTGCAATTTCATGGGCCCCACTTTGCCAGAAGAAACGCAACCTGAGCACGCCTAAAAGTCATTCGTCTTCGATAGTGCTTGTATAGGTTTTCTTACTTGTTTTATGTTAACTTTTGAGGGCAGTGAAAACCGGACCCTTGTAGAAGGTGAACATTATAAAAAGGACGATTACCCGAAGATGGCTCTCGACTCAGGTCCAAGAAATTTTATGCTCGGATCCGCTTGCTGTGATCTTGCTTGCGGGGCACCTACCTTATATTTTCTCCCGTTGCCGTGACTGCCAATGGTGCTGCAAACCTTTGATTCCCATTCACACATCCTAAACTCATTTTTATGTCTGTGTGATTTTCAGATATTTTAGGCTTGATTTACACAGTTCATTATTTCTCACCCAATCCAACCGTAGCTGGTGAACTCGAACGAGATCAAGCTTCAAGAAGCCGAAGAAAAAAGACGGCAATTTATTCTGGATAGTCTCAAGTTGGCAATGCCGGAGAATTTGCCTCTGCCCCAGGCTACAAGTGTCAGCCAGTTACTGGACCCTGCCAAAGTCCGCGATGTACGTCAAATTATTCGTACCACCCTATTCTGTCCTTCTATTTGGTGCACGAATCTGTACAGAGCGCACCTTCTTTGCCTCTTTTCTCTTCTAACAACATACCAGATAATGAGGAACCTTCCTCCAGATGCCGAAGGTCTGGACTGGCGCTTGACTTACAGTACAAGCCTTCACGGATTTAGCCTGAGAACTCTCTTCTACCGGTGCTCCCTAAATCCGAAAGAGGAAGACAGTGTGCAGACATCTTTGACCTCCTCCTACACATCAACAGATCAGGTCTCCGCATTCTCTTCCATCCATCCTTGTCTGCTGGTTTTGTGTACATCCGAAGGAGAGGTAAGTACCAGGAGCATCTTGGACGACGTTTCCTTCAGGGCGTTAAGTTTTGAGTGCATATGGTCATAAGCAAATGTTTGGCCGTTTTTCTGAGAACGAATTTTTGCTCGATAAAAATTGCTTTTCCCAGTCGAGTCATGTGTCTGTGCCATAAAGCTTATTACTGCTACACAGCTGTGTCCTTCCTGTTGCTCTTCCATAGTGTATATCTCACAAATTTTAAGGGAAATTTGGACTTATAGTCTATTAGGTTAGCTCAGAGCTCCGAATAAAGTTTTTTTCAAAGTTTTAATTATCATAGAACGCGACACTCGAGAAACCACTCAACATATCATTTGCTGATTTGAACAGCTTATGTTACACACCCTTCTTCCATAGTGTATATCTCACAAATTTTAAGGGAAATTTGGACTTATAGTCTATTAGGTTAGCTCAGAGCTCCGAATAAAGTTTTTTTTCAAAGTTTTAATTATCATAGAACGCGACACTCGAGAAACCACTCAACATATCATTTGCTGATTTGAACAGCTTATGTTACACACCCTGTCTAATCGCGAGTTTCCCCCACTGTTTACCGACCATTTATGGCCGGGAGCTATAGTTCCTATTAATCGTGCAGGAAGCTGTCGGTTGACGTTTCCCTCATGAATCCTGAGATGTGTCGTTTTGATGATTCTTGACAAGGATGAATCAGCTCAACATTGCTCTTCGGAACTTTCGTGGAGACTAGCTCTATCTGTAGGCTGAAATCTTGAGTAGAATTCTAGGACCTCCTCACGCTGTCAACCAACCTCTGTCAGTTCTTTTCATGGATGATTGCACCGGTTGTGTACATAATTCATGGAGCACGCCGGACTGGCATGAAATTGAGCATGGTAATATTCGCCCGCTCGCTTCTCAGAGGGTGGCATCCAAGTTTATTATAGAGCGAGTTTCGTACCCAATCAGTTTGTTGTATTCAAGCTGGAATCATTCTTGCTACCGAATCTGATCTCTTCATATTACTCAGACAAAGGGAGATATGTTTTCACTTCAGATCAATCCATGCCATGTCGCACACGAAGGAAGTGTCACCCGGAATTAAGTGGTTGGTGAGACGTTCTTTGGATGAGCTAGAAGCTCTTACGAAAGTTTAAAATTTATAGTACTAACAACTCTTACAGCAAATAAGCATGAACAGCTGTCTGAGAAGCTCTTTTTCTGTTGATTATGTGTGGTCAGGATTTTTGGATCAGATCACATTCCCTGATTGCAATAAAATGGAACAATGTCTGTTTGCTTTCCTATATTCAATCGAGGAGTGAAGTACGAAGCAGTAATGTCCTCTTTTAATAAGAGTATCGAATTCGGCTTTTCACTTGCGTTGTGGACAATTTGTTTGCATGCATTCACACTCTTCAGTCAAGGTTACCTTCCGTGGCTGGAATTTCCGGAGAAAGGAACAATGCTTGCACACAGTAAAAGCATCCTTTTTCATTCTTTGCGGACGTTGTCTTTTTTTCCTGAACTAAGTGATTGCCCTTGGTAATTATCTTGAGTGCTGTGAGGCTTTTTCAGATAGATTATCACAAAATTGCATCCAATGGATAAAACCTGTCTCGTAGTTGAGTCTTCAGATGTTCACCCATATGTTTCCTCTCATAGAAGAATTTAAGTTTAACTAGAAATGTGCAGGCTGAGATGTGTGCTTTTCCGAATATTTTTGTACATCAGTTTTGCAAGAAACTAAAGTTACAAAGTAGCCAAGCAGACGCGGTTTATCGGTAAGTCACTTTGTGATTGCGAAGATACAAAGACCGCCGGGGCTGTCATTTCCGGTGAAAGGTTTTTTGGATCTTCAGTAGCAATATAGGATAAACAAACGTTGTCTTGTTTTTATGTTTAAATGTTTATATAATCAGATGTTAACAAAAGGACAACTCCAAACAAATTTGTCCCATGATTCCTCAAAATCGGGGCAACTGATCCTAATACAGTTATTTCGATCCATATGACTCTGGTGTGCCTTTGTCAATGTTGACTGGTCGTTCATCTGTTTACCTAGGATTTTGCGTAAGTATTAATGGCGAACACGAAGTGAGGATGTAACGGTGATACTACTGATGGGAGTGGCATGCAAGTAGCATGTTTTCTCGTAAATCCGCATTGCGTCTCTTGAAAAGTGGGATCTAATTCGGAATTTGTGGAGTCGCTTTGTAGCATTTATTTGGATTTGAGCAACAGTCAATGAATATCCAGGAAAGTTCGGGGAGACGCGTTCAAGGAGAAGATGTTTATTCAGTTTTTGTAAACAAGATGCATATGAGAGTTTTGCCTCATTGTCCACTAATCTGTAACTGTGCACTTGGCATTTTCTAATAAATAACTCCGCAGCAAAGGCCATCCTCTTTTCAAGGGTAGTTGCCCAAATTTATTACTGTTGTGGGATCAGTAGTGCCAACATGTTCAGGCATTGGTCTGACCGATCGTGTGGTGATTGATACAGCGTGAAAGACACTGACTGGTTTCAGAACTACTTCGTTCAGTGACTCAGCACAGTAGCCGAATAGACAAGTATTGGGGTCGATAAGCATTCCAGAGTTAGTGGAGAGGTGGGGCCTGAGTTCTGGTATCAGTTCGACCGAGTTGGCTATCACTAGATACGTGTTGCAAATTCACTCATTTCGTGAAGATTTGAAGCTATGGAGGTCTATTAGGAGAAGAAATACTCCCATTGTGAGCAAACGTTGTCGTAGAAGAAGTTCAGATTTTCGATCGTTGCAGATAACACTCGGTTGCTTCAGTGTGATTATGTGAGTGCGTCAGAATGTGCGCTCTGGCAAACGGCTGATGAATCTGATGTCAGGTCTCATGAAAAGTCATGCACCCGTATGTCTTCAGCCGTCAATCGATACTTTACTCAAATTGTAGAAACCGTTATATGGTATTCAATCAACTCCTCAGATCTGTGATTTACTGCCTCATTCTTTACCTGATACTCTAGAGAAAAATCTGGCAGCTTTGGTGGCAAGCGCGTGTGCCTTCTTGAGTGATGAGGTGTTATTCGGACCAGATATGAAATCCTAGCAAACTCTTTTGAAAAGCCATTCAGACTACTTGTGAATAGTTGCTTACAAACACCACGCAAATTTCAGTGCTTCAGATGAAAGTGATATTCTTGTGCTGTTCAGGATTATAAAAAATAATTTACCCCTATCAAAGCAATAGATCTCACCTTAAACACGATTATACGTGGTGACAGTACGGTGTGTTTAGTTGACTCGTGTAAACACCGATTTTGAAAGAAATGCAAAATACAGGGAATATCACCTATAGTTCGTTGGAATTATATTATTTAATTCACTGGGCAAGTTGGGGTCTAGTTGTAAGTCTAACCGCACCGAGTTTTCAAATGAATTTCAATCCAGACGACACATACATTTTCTTTCATGAAATAAAGTCACATGCTGGATCACATCGCCAATTTTTCGAACTCAAAACATTTTTTACCCTTGTCAGCGTGTACTTTTTGAACGGGAAGTGTCATCAGTTCTGCTGGCGAAGAATCCTCACTTGCCGTCACACTGACGGTCTTCTATTGACAGCTGGAGCTTACCAACCGCCCATAATATTTCGAGTAAGGAAGAAAAACCCCGAAAAAAACAGGTGGATAACTTGACTCATCTACCCCATAGACATAATTTTGTGTGTGAGAAACGTCAGAGGTTTTCGAAGCTTCAACATATTTAAACCCAGAAATACTCCCTCTTAAATTTCACGGATGATGTGAATACTAGGTATAAATGACGTCAAACTCGATTTTTCATTCTGTTGAATTATCAAAGATGAGCAAACCCGGTTTCATTTGTTCTTCTTCATGCCTACACTGGATGATTATTCGATGTGCTGTTTTTCTGTCAGTCAAGAGCCTTATGTCTTTGTCGAACGTAAAACCTGTGTATTATCTTATCTACAGCCAGCTCAAGTGGGCAGTTTGAGAAATGCCATTAACGGATGGATTTGATGATGTTAATAATCCACGAATTCTCAACTTTCCCACTTTAAAAGCCCTTTACTCTGACCACACTGCAACCACACACTGTGACCACACTGTTACGGTGATACTACTAATGGGGAAGCAGGCGAGTAGTATGTGTTGTTCGTGGAATTTCGCTTTGCTTCTTTTAAAAAGGGGAGATCTGTGGAGTCGCTTTGTAACATTTGCTTGGATTTGAGCGAGGAATGATTGGAGTCAATGAATCTCCAGGAAACTTTAAGAAGACGCGTTCGGGAGAAGATGGGTGTCCAGTTTTTGTCAATAAGATGCAAATTAGAGTTTTGTTTCCCTGTTCAATGGTCTGTAACCCCTCAGTTGGCAGGCTTCCTTCCTTTCGCCGGTACGCAGCGCGTAACAGTGCCTGAGAAGACAACCAGCAACCACTAGTCGACTTGGTAGTCGCTGAAAAAGCAGGCGATCACTCATTCGTGAAACAGACAAACACTGACTTTTGAATTAATTTTTTTCAACCCCACACAAAAATCCACTTTTGTGACAACAATTTTATCTAAGGTGCAACGGATCAAATTTCACGTGGTTCAGCAATAAGAGTGCGGTATTTTCTGTCCCAGAAAAGTCGCTCTCGTCAAATTAATGATGACTGCGAGCAAAACAGGCTTCCGAGAGACTTTGACATCCAGACCGATAGTTCAGCATACGCTTACACAAAATTCTGTTTTAAAAATATATCTATCAGTTGTCTGGGGTGAGTTGCGATTCTGTCAAACAGCGCTGGTGATGCCTTCATCTCCGGATATTGATCATCACATTTCATGCAAAAGGGCCGCAAATTCTGAAACTGATTATAGTTGTCACTTGAAAAAATCATTCATTTAGTGATATAGCGTTGCATTCCGTGACAAACTTTAACCAACCTGTGTGGAAGATCATTCCGTTATAACGGAAATACTACCACTTTTTTGGGCATGTGGCCAGGTCACCATAATAAAGTAAGGAGAAGTATTTTTCTGCACGTGATCCTGCAAAATCGATACAAATCACAACTGACCGCAGCTTCATCGTCTGATAAACCGACCACGCGAAACTCCCAAGACCACATTATATTGTGCTCCTTGCACGACTTTAAATATCTATCTCCCAATGCTATATTCTGCGAAAAAATTATTGTTTCACTGTGAGTTTGTTCCCGCGTTTTCTCTATATAACACGTACAGAGACGAAAAAGTCGTTCGTGAATCATGTTTCAATAAAGCATGCTTATGATTTCTGAACCAAAGAGTTTCAGTATCATGTTTGGAATGACTTGTGGGTTACTACTGTCAGTCGCAAAGTAGTATCTCGGTACTCACGCCTGCACGGCAAGATTCACTACTTTCATGTAAATGGTGGGTTTTCAGTCTATCCATGGCGCGCCCCATGCAAATAGACCTTATTTCCCGATTATATCAAGCTGTTTTCAGGCGGTTCCAATCGAAGGACCAAGCCAATCTAGGTCCCAGTCCTCAACAAAAGTTGCCAGCAACATTGTGAGCAGTGTATGTTGCCAAGGAGAAGCCTACTATTAGTTACAGTGAAACGTGGTAGCGATTTTTCCAAGAGTTTGCAAATAAGTTAGACCTTTTGGTGTTCTGGGCCACGGAAATTAGTTGGTTCGTCTTTAGTCTAACGCCAGCCCTTAAACTACTTACCTCATTCAGATCTGCCAAGGCTACAATTACCCCCCCCCCCCCCCCCCTAGAACCAACACAAATGTC